ACACTCACTTCATTCCAACATGCATGGTCACCTTGATTCTAATCAAAGCTCATGTCAGCAGGTGCAAAACACATCTGAAATTACTTGTTTATTCATCTTTTGCACTGCTCTTCAGTTATTTTTTTTAAATAAACATTAACATTCTTTGGTTTACAAAATCTTCATCCTTTGCTAACCAGATCATTCACTGGTAGCGTGAACATTTACTTAAATAAAAATACAGTTTATCTTCCTTTATTCAAATTCATTTTTAAGCTAGAAAATAGCAAAAAGTAAGTTTCTTAATAGCTAATTCTGTTACGTAGTTGCCAGAAGTTACTCGTATGAAAATCGCATTTGATTAAAAATTGTATTTTTTTTTTAGATTTTTATTGTTGCTCTTAAAAGGAATTTCTGACTTGCCACCAAATATAAATGTTTTGAACAAAACACTGTGACACTGAAAAACTATTTTCTTCCAAATACATTCAAATCACATTCATTCAGCACCTTCTAACTTACCCCCGGAATGGCTTCTGAGGATCGAAACACACCTCCACTGCTCCACATTAGTAAGTTTGCTACTAGAACCAAACACAGTGCTAGGTCCAATGTACCTAGTTAAAATAGAAACAATTAGCAACAGAACCACCTCAAGTTCTTCTTTATAAAAAAAATCAGCTGCACAGTGCACTTCTATTAATCAGTTATTCCTACAATCAAAATGGAAAGGGAAAAACCCGTGGTTTTTTAGAGCAAGTAATTCCAGTTATTAAAAAATTAGCTTCAATAAAATGTACAATTTCTATTTAGGGTGACTCTTCAAATCTCACCAGGAAGCTTTGTTCAAGAACAGAAGAAAATGTGTCAGCTCCTGCAGAGGAGAGAGACCCCCAGGCAGACACACAGTCCAGCACCAGGGATGTGGTGTCACAGGGTTTGGCTCCTCGTGCACCCAGAGAAGCTCTGAGCTGTCAAAAGGCCAGCACTGAGGAAACACTAAGGTGTGCCAGAGAGAGCCACTGGAACTGCAGTACAGAAGTGAGAGGACAGGAAGGTGCTTACGCCGCTCGTTTCCACACCATAATGAGCTTGTCGTCGCCCCCCGAGGCCAGGTACACGCCGTTGTTGGACCAGCGCACGCAGTTCACACAGGCTGCGGGACAAGGGAGGGGGAGGTGAAACATGGCAATAAGTGGTTCACACAGGCTGCAGGGACAAGGGAGGGGAGGTGAAACATGGCAATAAGTGGTTCACACAGGCTGCAGGGACAAGGGAGGGGGAGGTGAAACATGGCAATAAGTGGTTCACACAGGCTGCAGGGACAAGGGAGGGGGAGGTGAAACATGGCAATAAGTGGTTCATTCACACAGGCTGCGGGACAAGGGAGGGGAGGTGAAACATGGCAATAAGTGGTTCATTCACACAGGCTGCGGGACAAGGGGGGGGAGGTGAAACATGGCAATAAGTGCTTTGGAGCGGGACAAAGATCACAGCAGGCAAAACTTGACAGGAGACATTTAGGATTTAAGTGTGCTTCTTCCACTCAAAGCAGTTACTCTGCCTGCTTCAGATAAATGAATTGGTATTTATCTTCCAGTAGCAGTTGAGGACCTTCTCACTTAAAAAACCCTATTCCTTATCTAAAAAAGCCTCATCAAAAGTAGCTCAAAGGAAGAAACATTAATATTCATCTAATGAAGGAAACTGCTCCTGGTAAATGAGGTGGGATTAAGAGGGCAAAGAAGGAAAGGTATATCTTGAATAAAGAAGGGACAACTTGTCAGGTACCCACACTAATTCTAAATGTAATGTGCAATAAATCCAGAATAATTTAGAACTATAACCAATATACTTCATATGAGGTTTATTTTACACTTATTTCTTCTCTTGCCCTTTCCTTTAGAACTCCCCATTTTCTCAGGATGTGCATTATCAAATACTTTGTGGCCACAGCTGAAAAAAAGCTTATAGGGAGGAGATTTCCAAAGGTATCTATATTTCTCTGCATATTTACCCACATATTAACATTTTCTACTGAATATCTTCAGAAGTATATAGCCAAAGTATGAGACCACTCTGCTGTATTTTATTGATTCTTCATCACTGGACAGAGCACAGTTTTTACAATCACATATGTGTAATGCTTAAGCTTTGGCAAATACCACTAGTCAGTAAAAAAAGATAAAAATAATAGGAAAAAAAAAATCTTTGTTACCTAAGTGATTGTCCATCTGACAAAGCATCTTGGGAATATTTTCATTCTTTTCATCTTCCTCTTTCAGGACAGGAGCCATATTCCAGATCACAACTTTGCCAGAATCCTGACCTGTAAGAAACCAAAAAGCCCCCCCTTTCAAATACGTGCAAAAAAGCTTTTCAAATTAATCTCAGTCCCAGAACAGATGCTAAAATATAGGCATTACTGCAGTGTGAATTTTGGAAACACTTGAATACAGATGCCATTTTGATACAATTACACCAAGTCACAAGTGCTTTATTTTTCTTAAAGCTATTAAAAATAAATTTATACAGTTCAAAAATCATACTGTACATAACTGATATCAACTACAGGGACAACTACTTATAATAAAATTATATTTTAAAAGAGAAAAGATATATTAAAATACTAAATTGCAATTATTGTAGCCAACATAAAATTATTCACTGTTGTGAACCAAGTAATATTTCTGCATGTATTTCTTAAGCTATTCCATTTATATAATTGGATTTTTCTGTCCCAATAGCTCTACTATTTAGCAACTCAAAAAGCCCAACTGCACATTCAGTTCCTCTTCAAATAAAAAAGAAATTTGGCCATGACTCAATTATTGCAGCTACTATCTCACTGATGCCCAAGAGGATGAGCACATCAGGACATGGAACCCTGCCTTCTGCAGGAACAACAGCACTTTTCGATACATTTTAATGACTTACATAATCATCTGTTTCTTAGAGATAAAAGTGATGTCTTTTCAAAAGGGTCAAACTGATTGAAGTGTGGTGAAGGCACACAATTATTATTAGAGCCCAAAGTTCCACTTTTTATCAGCACACAGACATACCTTGTCCTCCTGTTGCAAACTTGGTCCCATCTGGGTGAATGTCCACTGAAAATATTGGCTTTCCTGGAATTAGAGAACAAGCAGCAACACACTGAGTTGTTTTACAGCCAAGAGAACTGTAATGCCAGAGCCACCAGAACTCTTCTGGTTGGCAACTTCCTTTTCTAAAAGCTGCAGTTGCAGGAATGACAGGAGCTGAGAGCAGCCTGGCACAAAGGGCAGCCCAGGAAAAGCCTCTCTGGAAGTTGCCACTCCACAGCAAACCAGGGATAACCCAGGACACTTAATCCAAATGCCAAATAGCTCAAAGCAAAACAACACCAGAGTGCCAAGGAGGCAAAACTGTATTTGAGTAAGGAATTTCTTCCAGGTTTCTACAGTTCATTAGCTGATGACCTGAAGCAAGTTGTGTTTTGGTTTCTGTTTTTGCTTTTCTAAAATCCTCCCCATCTCAGGCATCTGCTGGTCACACAATTACCCATCTCAAATTTAAGTTCTGTTGTTATGAAACTCTTCTACCCAAAGATCAGCTTTCATTTTATGGTTTCCATATAGACAGAGCAACCTCAGTATTACTCTTAAACCCTCCAGTTCTCCATATGCTACATCTTTCAAAAGAAACCTAACAATGTTATTAAAATGTAAACTGTGTAACAAGTAAATAACACAGTGGGGGAACAGCTTTGGGTTTTTTTCTAGCATTAAATTTGGGGTTCAATCAAATGAGCACTGAGCAGATATTTTCATAAATTATTATAATCCTAAAAAGTCAGACCTCAGTGGAAGTTGTCGGGTCACAGGGTATTATTTTCTATGTGAAGTTTAAAAAGGGTATGGACTTTGCACCCAGGAAAGGCAGGGGTAATAAGTGAAGCCCTCAACAACAAATAAAGTTTCCTACGTGGCTCAACTGTGATCCAGGGAGGGATCTTATTCCACAGGGAACTGATCCTACACAGTGATCTATCCAGTACACCTGGGCTTTCCCACAGAATTTGCCAATAAGCTTAAGGCACAGGGACTTGGGAACACAAGGCCCATCAAACTCATCTCCTGGAAGAACCATGTAAATGTTGTTTCCATCTGATGGATAAATCTTAATAAACAGGACTAGTTTCATACATTTTCATCTCACCAGCAATGTCCAGATGTATCCAGTGGCTATCCTATAAGGATATGCTTTTTTCTCCCTAGAACATTAGTATATAAATCAAGTTCCAGAATCCTAGGATTTTGTACAGATAAAAGTCTTCCATTTTCCATGTACAGGAAAACTGTCACACTACACCCTGTTCTTACCAGGCAGCCTGCATTAATCAACACCCCAGCAGCAGCTGCAGAATGCCATGGCACACACTGGCACGCAGGAACACTCACAAGTCAACCTGGACAAAATACTAATTACAGGTCAGTCTGGCAAGAGCAACCCAAAGAGTGAAGCAACTACTTATGGATTATTCAGATTTGAAAAAGGGAATCACCAGTAAAGTTACCTGCTTATGAATGATATCAACTCTTTCACCACTGAGAAGGAACTTATGTTTTTAATAAGTCTGCTCTCTGCACTTTTATGTCTACTCCTTAAAATACAAAATAAGTTAAATAATTATTAGACTGTTTTCCTAAGTAAACCAAGACTTATATTTGTTTTCAGTTTTATCAATCTAGAGATGTCAAATTATTAAAAAACCACCACAGGTGAAGTAACTGCAAGACAGAAATTCAGCAAGACAAAGTCATTGCCAGGGTGCTCTTTCCTCCAGGGTACCATTATCAAGGGAATGCCATTGACAGTGCTGGACAACTGTCACAGGTTGAAGCTGGAACACTTGTTCCATACTACTTGTGGTTTATAAATTGAGCACAGATACTGGGTTTTTCCTCACTTCCTTCATTATCTCAAAATAATAGAGAAGGAGCCACAATTTGATAGCAACCACTTCCTTCCCAAGGCCCATGTCTCCATCAGATTCCGTTGTCAGATCCTGTGGAAAGAAGCCAAAAGGTACAAGGTCTCTGTTTCCAAGTGACCAAAGCGTTCCCATGCTTCTAACTGGAGATGTGTTGAACTTCCCAACAGTGATGATGCACCAAAACAAAATGCAAGTGGTACTTAAGCAGCAACACTAAAATCTAACACGGTGTGTTTTAAGACATTTTGACCTCTTGCAATAATATCTAAAAGAAAATAAGCTTAAATTATTGAAGCTCCCAGCAGCACATTGCATGAGGAAGCAAACCAGGTTCATTAAAACCAGAACACCTTATGATAGAGCAGATGTCCCGTGGGCTTATTTGTTTAAAGACACCAAATATACATTACATACTTAAAGAAATACCAATAATGAAACAAGCTTGGAACAAAAAGTTCCAAGTAAGATAACTAAAATCCAAGGAAAAGGTCCTATCTTTTTAAAAAATACACCAGCAGAAGAATAAAAGTCATTTTGAATATTGCATCATTTTTGTTTGTAATCAATGAAATATAAGCACAATTGTAATGAACTTCTACCACAAAATTAATGAGTTTCTATTCAGTTTGCTTTCAGCCCATCTAATGCAACATCCAATGTGACTCACAAATCAATTCAAATATTTACATTCCACCATTACAGCTTGGAGAGATAAACTCTGTGCCTATATTTAAACAAGAGCAGGCTCCAGTTTCTACAAGTTGTTATACATGAACAACACCTTAGGGCTTGCAAGGGTTTCTTGGAATGGCAAGGGACCTCCTTTCCCTCAGGGAGCAGTGTTTGCCTGCATGAGCCATCTTTAGGCACCTGGGCTCTCAAAACCCCCTGTGCTGAATATGTCCAGACAACAGGATTCCTCTTCAGAGAGGTACTGAATGGAACACTAGGAGAGGGAAGCAAATCACACCAGCTGTATCTTACAGTCATCTGTTCCTGCCCCCATATTAGATTGCACTTTGAATATTCTACCTTGCTCTAAGCCAAAGAAATATGGAGGAGAACACAACAATAACGAGAATTTCATGCAATGTCTAATAAACCCACACTAAGGGCGTGACAAGCTTACAGAAGATGCATCTGAAGAAGAAATATTTCCAATAAGTATTCAGATAAATGGCATTAAGAACTCTAAGACAAAAACCTGCAGAGCCCAAATGTGTTTTTACCATAAATACATGGCCCACAATTCCCAGGTGTGCTGAACGTCCCAGCTCCAACACTGCCTTCCAGTGCCTGTGGAGTGTGTGCCCATGAGCATCATCACACTCATTCTAGTCCAGTCAGGAAAGGAAAAATCCCAAAGCTGGGTGAGGAGAGGGCAAGGCTGGAATGATGGCAGCTGGGTCTGGAGTGTGGAAGAGTCAGCCTTGCTCCAACAGCAGTGAACAGCCCTGTGTGCCTGCGCAGGGATCGAGGGAACAGAAATGATCAGTCTCCAGCACACACAGTGAAAACTCTCCTGACCCTGCTCTGGAGAGGTTCCACTGACAGCACTTTACAGATGGAGCTGCTGCCGAATGTCTCTTCTGCAGGAGGTGAAACTATGACAAAGTGACTCGGCCAAACTCATCCCAGCAGGTCAGCAGCAGAAATGGGAATAAAATGTGGGACTATCGAGGCCCTGCGTGGTGCATTATCCACCAGGCAGAGGATCCTAGAGCTTTCCAAAGGAGCCCCTGCTGCAAATCACTTGGCTGAAGCCTGTTTTCTGCAATGGCTGCATGTGTTCTAAATTGCTACAGATTTCAAAGACATGCCCATATCAAAAGGTGCACCCTTTAAAGAAATAAGGAAAGAAGTCACAGATCTGATCTCTTAGATTAGATTTAGGCCGAAAGTTTTTATTCAGCTGCTCCTAAGTGCGCTCCCACTGAAGATAAACAGAGGTACAGGACATTCTGCCCACGGGCTGCCAGAGATTAAGATGTAAATGCTACATTTGTTTAGATTAACCAAGCAGAAACGTAAAAAACAACTCAAATAAAGTATTTCCACAATTTTTCACTTCACTACAACCTTTGGTTACAAGGTTGGGTCCATCTGCTGCCTACACAGTCCCTGGAGAGCAGGCCAAGTAAAGATGCAGGTGAACAGCAACCCAAAGCTTGAGTGACTGTTACAAAACCTGAGCACGGACACAAACACAGCACCACGTGCAGAAAGGCAGCTGTAAAGTTGTGTCCGTGGTTTTTAACTCAAAGCATGCTTTTCCAGCTTGAATAAGCTGGTCTCCACCTTAGTCTTATTCTAGATCCCAATCAACTACGTGAGTCCATCTAATGACATTTAGACATTAACAGGGTACACAGTTTGCAGTGGAAATGAGGCTCTATCCAGGCTCTGAGGACAAAACTTGCACAAACTCAAGTGAGCTCTTCACGTTAGATTTCTTCTCACTGCCTCACCAGGAGCAGCACAGGTATTAACCTGGAAACTCATCCTAAGCAGTGTAAGTACACAACACTGATGCTACCCCGTGTTTGCCACACCAGGGAAGCACAGAGCCTTCTGTCAATACCAACTCTTCACTCTGAAAGCGTTTGAGCTCACAGACCTCTACAGAACCCCCAGAGGACTGGCAGACAGGAGAGTATAGAAATCCAGGGAGTTGTTTTGAAAGTACTGCTGGGAGAAACCTTTTCGCCCACGGAGACTGACAGCTCAGTGCATGTGGGGACTCCGACAGTGAACCTTCCGCAGCGAGAGCAGCGCGGTCAGCGCTGTGCTCCGGCACCGCTCACCCCGCGGGCACCGACAGCGCCGACCGCCCTGCACTCGAACCCCTTCTGCGCTGTCT